TTTCTCTCTTCCTATCTTCTATCTTATGTTCTTAAGAACAAGAATTAAAAAAAAAAAAAAAAAACCCACAACAAACTAGCCTAACTAGAAACTAATTTCACTTAAACACAGATAAAATGGAAACAACTGTAATGTGTTATTAGAGAAGATTCACCTGAGTTCTTAGATGCACTTCAGTAATCTGCACTGAACACAGACCCTGACACATAGTAGTGGCTTAAACAGTCGCTAAGCAGAAGACCAAAACAGAAATACAATATTTGGTTGTTAATCTTAATTATTTTATAAATCTTTTCTAAATTTCAAATGTTCTAAAAATCAAAGGATTTACTAAGGCTTCTAACAACTGTCTCTTAAGAGTAGTCAGAAAGTGTTATTACTTAAGAATGAAAATGGATTCAATTATATACCAGGAATAATTTTGTGGTTTAGTTTTAATTATACATCCTACAAAATTATTTCTCTAAGTACAGTGTATCAGTGAAGGCTTGTCTGCCAAGGATACTCTGGGCACTGGGGCATAGCTGTGAAAGACAGGAACATTCCCTGTCTTCTGGGAGCTTAGAGAATACACAAATTTTTAGTGGAAAAAAAAAAATATCATGCCATTTCTGAAAATTTATCATGTATTCCTTAGTGGTTTAAAAGGGTTTTAAAAAACCTTCAGGCCATTTAAAAAAAAAAAAAAAAAAAAAAAACTCACCACCATTGAGTGAGATCTGACTCATAGCACCCTTCCTTGGGTTTCCGAGAGAGTATCACTGCAGAAGTAGATTGCCCAGTCTTTCTTCCAAGGAGTGGCTGATGGGTTTGAACTGCCAACCTTCTGGTTAGCATTCAAAATGCCTTAGGTAGAGGTAGGCACTCCACCAAAGCTAGGCACTATGACTTTCCCCACCTTACAAATAAAGGGACTAACAGTTTACATTGTTTGTGTTCACCATACCTACTCCCTTACTTCTCTGAATTTATCTCGGTCTAGTCTCCCAAGATTCCTTCATTGCACATAGTTTGCACTTGGCTGGTAACCAAAAGTTTGGCATTTCAAACCCACCTAATGGCGCCACTGTAGAAAAGACCTGACAACCTGCTTCCACAAAGACTGCTATCCTTGTTAGTTGCCATGGAGTTGTTTCCAACTCATGATAACCTCATGTGTGATAATAGAACTACTCTATAGCACTTTCAATGTTGGGATCTTTTGAAAGCTGATGATAGGCCTGTCTTTTAAGGTGCCTTTGTGTGGGTTTGAATAGGTAATTTTTTGTTTAGTTGTTTAGAGTGCACCCACAGATTCCTTCTGTAAAGATTATTGTTGTTGCTCTTTTTGTTAGGTTCCATAGAGTTGATTCCAACTCACAGTGACATCATGTACAACAGACTGAAATACTGCCTGGTCCCGTGCCATTTCTACAGTCATTACTGTATCTGAGCCCATTGGTGTAGCCACTGTCAATCCATCTCATTACGGGTCTTCCTCTTTTTTGCTGATTCTCTACTTTACCAAGCATGATATCCTTCTCCAGGGCCTGGTATCTCATGACTACATGTCCTAAGAAAGTGAGATGAACTCTCATCATCCTTGCTTCTAATGAGCATTTTGGATACTTCTTCCAAGACAGGTTTGTTTGCTCTTCAGACAGTCCATGATATATTTAATATTCTTTCCAACACCATGATTCAAAGGCATTAATTCTTCTTTGTTCTACCTTATTTATTGTCCATCTTTCACATGCATATGAGTCAATTAGAAATACTATGGCTTAGGTCAGGCACACTTTAGTACAGCCAAGAAAACCCTACAGGGCATTTCTATTCTGAAATATATAGGGATGCCATAAATCAGAATTGACTGATTGCACAAGACAACAACACACTTTTTCTTATCCTCTTGTGCCCCCACATCCTCCCATCCTGTACTCTTCACCCCTCTATGCCAGCCACATTTTTTCCTAAAACTGTGTAGGTACATAACCATGCAAGCAAAGACCCACCTCAGGATCTTTGGACTCTTACTATGTTATTTCAAAATTTAAGAATTTGAAATAAAATCCAGTTCAAAAGTGTCCCTTTTTTATTTGAAATGTTTATCATTTGATAGTTTGAAAACATTTGTCACTGTCAATGTAACATTTTTAAAATGGTATAAAATGGATAGCAAGATTATTTCCCTACACTAAGAGAGGGTCATTTACCATCACAAACATCATGACAAAAAAGAAATCTCAAATAGACTACAGTCATCCGTCATTCATTTAAATTGGATTTTATTCCCTGAAAACTGGTGGAAATTGAATTGAAAAAGTCAAATTTAATTTTCCTACTTATGGAATAAGCCCTTAATTCTAAATTTTATAAAAATGATAGCAAAACCAGTTATTGATCTGTGCATGATTTGGTGTTATGATAAAAATATAATAGTTTTATAAATGCACCAATGTTTGTGTCATGGATTGAACTGTTTCCCTCAAAAATATGTGTTATCTTAGCTGAGCCATAATTATCACTGATTTGACATTTATGTAATCTTGTAATCATACCCCATGATGTGATCTGATGTGATCAACAATAGGTTGTAAGAGGATTAGGATGGGATGAAACACTTTTACACAGATCACAACTATCATCCAAAATTAGGGAGTTTCCCTGGGGTGTAGTCTTCATCATCTTTTGTCTTACAGTATTAAAAGGAGGGAGAAGTGAACAGAGAAGGAGAGACCTCAGTATCATAGAAAAAGAAGACCTTAGGCGGAGCACATGCTTTGGACCCAAGATCCCTGCACTAGGAACCTCCTAGACCTAGTGGGAGATTGATTCTAAGACACATGGGGATCTCAAAGGAACATCAGTCCCACAGATAATGGGAGAAAACAAGGATCTTCTTCCAGAACCGAGAAAGAGAGAAAATCTTCCTCTTGAGCTGGCACCCTGAATTTGGACTTCTAGCCTCCTAAACTGTGAAAGAATATATCTCTTTTTGTTAAAGCCATCCAGTTTTGTTATTTCTGTTACAAAAGCAATAGATTAGTAAGACAGATTTGGTACCAGGAGTGGGAGGCTGTGCTAACAGATACCTAAAATGTGGAAGCAGTTTTGGAATTAGAAAGTGAGTAGAGCCTAGAAGAGTTTTAAGGTGCTTAACAGCAAAAGCCTAGGTTGTCTTGAAGAGAGTATTGGTGGTATTATGGACATCAGAGGCAATTCTGGTGAGGACTCAGAAGAAAATGAGAAGAGCTGAAACACCAGAGAGGGCACAGAAAACAAGAAGTAGTGACAGATAAATGGAAGCAGCGGGAGACCTGATTAAGAGAGTACAGGAGCTGACCCATGGAGCGAGACAACTGAGTGCCTTTGGAGCGGCTTGGC